GTACGTACGTACGTACTACGTACTACTACTACTACTACTATATATATATATATTATATATATATATATATATATATATATATATATATATATATATATATATATATATATATATATATATATATATATATATATATATATATATATATATATGTATGTATGTATGTATATATATATATAATCCTAGGCATGAAGCACGCTGATTATGTCTATACTTTGCCTCTCAATACACATCTATAGCACGTATTTCCTCACGGCATGAAGCACGCTAATCCATGGTTATACTCTGTCTCTCACTACACATGTGCAGTATGTGTCGGTCTACGACAGGCGGATGCTGCAGGTGAACTGTGCTGCGGCCCCTTCTGTGCGCAGAGGCTCAGACATCAGTGTGGATGAGGAGGGACTGCGCACGTATACACGCCGAGTTGCGCGGTTTTGCCCTGAATCTACGCCTTCACGCCACATCACGGGTGTGTCTGTGACCGATGTGTGGCTGTTGTGTAGGTAGAATATATTGCATATGTAAAGTGTAGGTAGGATATATTGCAAATGTATTGTTAGGTAGAATTTAGTTTATATGTATATGTATGTCTATGTATATCTATGTGTATGTATGTCTATGTATATCTATGTGTATGTATGTATATATGTACATACTATTCTGCTCTCAACTCGTAGGCTCACCCCACAGTGCGTGACTTTACTTGGTTGCATATCGTGTTGTATTACCGTTCGGTGTCTCGAAAGTTACATCTCCCTCCAGCACAGCCCGAGGCTAGTGAGCATTCTGCTATGCCATCGCTATGAAGTATACGGGCAGCTTTAAACTCTGCCCGGACGTGCCCGTGGTCACCCCATGGTATACATGTGCATCGCTGTGTAGTTAGGGCATGCGGTGTATGTCTATACACACACTGGGCTCGCCTGACAAGCCCCCTCGCACCGCAGTTCAGAATCGGTGTGTACTTATAGTGGGTTTGTTGTACATGTAGTGGGTTTGTTGTGAGGTATAGCAGCAACTCCTATCCCTATGTGGGAGAACCATAGGCTATCCCATTCTCTTCCCTTCTATACCGTCTACTACTTTGAGTAGTATAACCCATAGCAACCGTTGCTACGCTCTCCGGGAAGGTCAAATTACACCCACTCAGCGATGACTGACTAACCCCAGTCCAACCACTCACCTCTGGCTCAGGCGTGCGATACAGCAACACGGGCAAGGAGATCGTTGCCTCGTACTCAGTCGACGGCATCTACATGTTCGACTCCTCCGGTCTGCAGATCCGCCGCTTCTCCACCGATCACACCGAACCGCAGAAGGGCAAAACGGCCCAGCATTCATCTCACAGCCAAACGTATGCGCGTGCGTAAACGTTAATGGGGTGACTGAGAAGGACGAATCGGCCTAAGGATACGTCCCGCGGCAGGATATATGCATGCGAACACGCGTGTTGCTTATGGTGTAGTGTTGTGTACAGGTGTTTAATCTGCGCAATGGTCTATAATACTTTCTTGTCGGTGTAGGTGTGTACAAGGTGTGTCTGTCTGTGCAAAAATGGCTGCATTTTGAGGTCTTGTGCGGTCTGTAGATCAGATTCTTATATACCGATCCAGCTGATAGGGAGAACCTTTTTCGTTTCCGCAAGAAGTACGCGATGTCTTGTTGTTGTTTTCTTATGGGTTGGTTCGTATTTAGATACATCTGTACGAGACACGTGACCTAAAGTGTAAGGATATAATTCTTGATTATATACATGTGTAAATAAACATCTGTACGAGACGTATGTGACAGATGTGTAGGTATATATGTTTAGTATGTGCATGTTGCTGTGAGTATGTGTTCTGTAGTTGAGTATGTATCCGTATGTAAAGAGACATTCCTTATTGTAAGAATCATTGTATGATGCACAACATACTTGGTTTGCCTCAAAGGGCGATATGGACACTAAATACTACACAGTATGTTCAGCTATTCATGCAGAGATACAGACAGTATGTTCAGCTATTTATGCAGAGATACAGACAGTATGTTCAGCTATTCATGCATATAGAGAAAATCATAGGTGACGCGCCATGCCACACCTAAGAGTGCTCTTGTGTGTACGCCAAAAAGTTTCTGGTGATGTGTGGGTTCCGATGTGGGTTCCGATGTGGGGTATCCGGCTGCGCTTGTCTCCATAGTAGGGCATTCAAGTACCTAAATTCAAACTATCAATATA